ACATCCACACTCTAATCATGGATTTTTGAGGGTGTGGGTGTGTCTATGGATGTTGTTTTAGTCTAGAAACACAATCACACACCCACATCACCTCACCCTTCTGATTGTTTTTATTCATTTTTTTCTTTCAAAATTTTCTCGAAAACATGAAACTGCGGATGGTAGGGCTGAATCCCGTTTGGTTCTACTCCAGTGATGCCACTAGCATTTAAATAGTAAAACTTTGTTGTAATATTCAATTTTTCATTCATTATATGATTTATTTGTGACAAAATTTTAGATCGTATAATCTTTGATGAAAAAGTAATTTATGCTGTTATCTATTTCTTTGAATAAGATTATTAAAAAAAAAACGAGTTGTTCAACAAAATATTGCACTACTTTTATAATTTTTGCTCTAATTATTCTGTTGAGAATATCTATTATTATATCCATATTTGTTGTGATATGGACGTTGTTGATTCTGGCGATGAGATGAAGTATAACTATTCGATGCTGAATTATTACTATTCATTGCTATAGGTTGAATTCTGGAATTATTATTTCTATTATGTTGTGTCATTGATTGTTGTTGTTGGCGGCTATGATAGTTATTATCACTTATAACTTCTTCGCTTCTGGAATCGTTATAGTTCATAGACGATGACGGAACAATTCTGCATTGATAACTGTTAGGATTGCCTGTCACCTTATTGAAATCTTCACTCCTATGAGAGAGAGGACATTAAATTAATATACACACGCTACATGTCATATAATCATGATCCTTAATATTATTCGATTAGGTTTATTTTCTAGTTTGTTTCAGTTATCGTAAATGCTCATCGGAATTTGTTTCCAAAGATTGGGGTTCTGCAAAAACCTAAAACAAAGTTTTCTGACTGCTAGATTCGGCAAATCGAATGTTATTTGAATTAACTTGAATTATAGAGCAACCAAAAGTGAACAAAATTATACATCTTTGGGTTCTTCACGACATTTTTTGATCGAGATATATCAGTCTGAGAAAAAACACAAGAGTTGTTTGTTTTTTTCGAATGGAACCACCATTTTTGTGTCTGTCATAAAACTGATATATCTTAGTCAAAAAATAGTCGTGAAGAACTCGAAGACGTTTAATTTTGTACATTATTGTTTGCTTTATAATTCAAAACATTTCAATAGAATTCTATTTACCAATTCCATGTGCTTAAAAGATTCGTTTTAGGTTTTTTAAAAATCGATTTCATTTTGGGAGACTCTTGTTAGAATGAAATTTCCTATTCAAATTACTCTTTGATTTCTTATTAGAGTTTGCTACAGCTGTGGAAAATTGAAAATAAAGTTGATTGAATAATTGTATGAGCCATTGTACGAATGCAATACGACCTACCAGTTAATTGCAGCAGCAAGTGAGATTTTTTCAGCATCAAGACAATTTTCAATAATAATAATAAAATAAGCTTCACGTTCTTGTCGTCTCCTATCATTTACAATTGATCGACACACGTCTAATTCATTTTGAGAAATATTAAAACGAGTATGTTCTTCATTAAATGATCCACTGGTACCTTTAACTTCAAAATAACAATATTTAGTTGTTGATTTTGATGTACGAATAAATACTTGATGTGTATCTTGTAACTCGAAATCAAAACCAGCTGAATCATTGATATTATCACGATATTGTGGATAAATAATAAGACGTGATGATGAGCGCCAATTTTTTATTGGTGTTACATCTACCGAGCCATAATGATTTTGTAGATAGACGAAAAAGAAATGTTCAGCATTTTGACCAATACGAATTTGTTCGATACCATCTACAATTGATGGATCTTTCCAAATATTTGTCAAGTTCATATTTCGAGGGATATTATTTTGTATTTTTATTCGACTTCGATAAATTATATCGTCAGCAATTCGATCAACAGCAATTGAATCTATTGTAATTTTTTCTGGATCTTCTTCAATAGTACAATATTTTCCTATTGATATAATCATCGATTCAATAGAATGATGATTAGTAGGAAAAAGTATATCAGTAAATGAATAAATGTTAGATTCTGTACTAGCGACAGATGAGAGATAATCGGAACGAAATGCTGTGCATGTACTTATCTGTTTTTGTGCAATTGATTTTGCTTCTTCGAATGATTTATGGTTTCGTTTATGTAATAGAGTAGTTAAAGCTGATGTTGCAATAATTGCTTTTGAAGCATCACCTCTTTCGTTACCCGTACAAAGAAGAATAGTTTTATTAAATATCCAGAAAGGATAATCAGTAGCAATCATACATCGATGAATTTCATTTGTATATTCTTCATTAATTGAATCAATAACAAAAGAATCAGATAGAAGAATAGATACGCTAGCATATTTTGCTGTGACCACTTCCAATTTTGGATCATTAAGAGTATGACAAAATATTTCTGTTAATTGTTTGAGTAAATACTCAAGATTATGATTTTGATGTATCCATTGAATTTTACCTCGTCGTTCAATATAATCAATACCAAATGCCGCTAAAACTAATGGACATGTACGAGTAATCAATGGTAAAATAAAATGACGTTTACCAATATCTTTAGATAAGTTTTGAATAAGCATAGTTTCTAAACATGCATAGATAATAGTATCTATTTTTTTTATAACAATTTTTCGATCAATCATAATAAGACCAATGCGTTTTCGTTGTGATTCTATACCAATCAATTTTTCTAATTGTTGTGATAAAGAATTACATGTAAAACTAAAACGCCATTCTAAATCTTCTCGACTACCATATGGAGCTGTTGCATGTTTATTTATTATAATAGTATTATATAAATCACTATTTGGTACATTATTTTTAACATATTTCCATATTAAATCTTCTAGATACTGATAAAGAGTCATCATTATTTCTGTACCATAATCACTTAATGTTGTCTTACAATCACCAAAAGAAATGAAATTACTTTTATCATGACTTGCTAAATAAATAGCGTCATATATATTAGTAATACTAATTGTAGATGTTGACAAGCAACCTAAAAGATAAAAAAGATCTTTGAATTGCCAATAAATTTGATTATTTAATGGTGAAATCAATTTTAATTCAAGATATTTCGATATAAGTAAAATACCACGATCATGTTCTTCATTATCTGATTTAATTAAAAGATTTTTTAATAAATAAAAATTTTTATCATCAGGAAGATATAATTGAAATGATGAAAGTAAAGTTTTCATATTCAATTCAGTATGTTGTTGACGAACATATAATTGTAAATGACTTAACCATTGAACATACAAGTCAACATTTTTATTTTGTTCATTACTTAATAATTTTAAAATTTTTACACATGCAAGAAGATTATATTCGGTACAGATACCAAGACTTTTTGCTAATGCACGACAATGATGTGGAATTGTAATATGTGGTAATGAAGGTAAATTAGGAACAATCATTTCATCAAATATAGCTGAAACTGGAATTATTTGTTGTTCAATATTTGAATTATAAATAATTGGAAATTGACGAAGACACTCTTTTGTATTTTCTGTTTGATAAGAAAAAATAAATTCACCTAATTGTACACATTTTTCATCTGTAAACTTAGTTAATGTTGGTAACAGTGGTAAATTAATGATAGAATAATTTAAAGGAAGATGAATTGATGGTCGTTGACAATTCATTTCAAGTAGAAAATATTCCCATTGAAGAATATCAAATAATTGATCATAATGAGTATTACAATAAGGAAAACAAATAATTGATGAATTTATTGGATCTATATATTGTCGAATATCTACTCCTAATATTGATGGTAATATTGCATTCTGAATTGGAATAAGATTGGATGTTCCTGTAACAGGTACAAGAAATAGAGTAGATTTGTTTAATTTATCTAAATGAGATTTTAAATAGAATAAATCTTGCCATATTTCTTCGATTAATTGAACATTTGGATTAGAAACAAGAGGTGAAACAGCTAATTGTAAATGATTTTGATAAATAATTTCAATCATTCGTTCCTCTGTAAGAAGTTGTACATGTTTTGATTTGATAAGAGCAATGCTTTCGGATTTTGAAGAGTATCGTAAAAGTGTCAGTTGTGTTTTCCACATTCGAAATTGTGGATTATCACTAATGAAAAGAAGTTTATCAGTCGTATCATTGATTGGTAAATATTGTCTGTGATGATTATGATGATGATTTTGAAGAAGAAAAATTGGTTTTTGTAAAAATATTTGAGAAATTTCTGGTGTCATCATTTCAGTTAGATGATGAAAAAGTTGAGACCACCATTGTTCATCTTGATTTTGTGTCCATAATCGAAATTGTTGACGAAAATCATTCGTTGTTGTTGTTGTTTCTTCTCGATTGGGAAAACAATTTAGTACGTCTATAATTGAAACTGATTGTATTTGAAAAGATTTTAAATGTTCAAATGTTAAGAAAGAAGTATTTGAATCAATAACATGAATATCAGCACAATTGTATAATTGTTCATTTGATACAAGTAATGATAGATCTTTATTAAAGTAACGAATTATTTTGTCTAAATATAATTATTCAATTTTTTTTAAAGATTACTTTAAAAAAAATCTTTCTTTACCTGTTCGAATATCAAATAATATTGAAATATATTTCTTTATTAATAGATTGATATTATCAATCATAATAAGCCACCATGATGAATGTTTTCCTTGATATATATTTGATGTTGGACAATATCGATTGATATCTTTTCTTAAGTCTATGTCATTTAATAAAATATAAACAAAAAGAGCTGATAAATGATCACGAATAAATGTATTAGATGGAACATTTTCTCGAACATTTTCACGATTTGTAACTAATTGAAAATCAGCATTGAATAAAAAATTAAAACCAAGATCACAAACAGGTAAACCAGTATAAACTGTACTTGTTAAATCATAATCTTTTTCACATGGAAATGCTAAAATTAGTCTTGTGTTTGAAGATCGTTGTTGTTGTTGTTTAATTGAGTTTGGTATATCAATATAGCATGTATACACTCGAAAAGTATTATATCCTGTTGATGTATGTAATTGCATGATAGATCCAGTAAGATTAAAAAATGTAAAATCTTCAAATGTCACATTTGATTGTTCTTTTAACGCTGTTGAACCTATGCATTGTTTCTCAATCAATGTTTCTTTATTTTGTCTTTTATCAATGATTTCAAGTCTTTTTAGTTGACGCATATTAAGTAAAACACATGGATCGACAGCTTTGATAACTTGATCAAGAAATAGATTAGCTTCGGATGTTTGTGTTTCTAATTTAAGTGGTAGATAAAGATGAGTATATTGAGCATATGTTGAGACTTGCTCCGCAATACATTCTGGAATATCTTGATCTGTTATCCATAATGGTGTAATATATGACATAGCATCAATACCTGGTACTTGAAAACAAAATTTCCAAGCATGTGAAATAAGCATTGGTTGATTTGATGCAACAAAAACTGATTTAAAACCAACACCTTTTTCACCAATATGTTTCTGTAAATTTGTTTTGGTAGTAACAGCTAAACTACAAATAGCTAATACATCTTTTGCTCGAAGACCCTGTTCATTATTTGATAAAAGTATATAATTATGATTAAGTTCAATACGTAAACATGGAATCATTGAATTATCATAAAAATTATCTTCAGCATTCTATAAATAAAAATAAAAAGAAACTCTATTGAATACAAATAAATAAGAGAAATCAACCTGAATAAGTTCATGTAAAAAATGTACAGATGAACTATAAAGATCAGAGCCAAGATTTTTCAGTGATCCACAAATAGATTTTCGCATATCATTATCATTAAATGTTGTTCGTCGATGAAAAATTTCTCGAATACATTTTTCTGCTTGTTCTTTCGTAATTTCATTTGGAGAAAGTTTTTGCAATTCATCGATTATATTATTCTGATCATTATTATTATTAGTAGTAGTAGTAGCAGTAGAAACGACAGCTGATAATTGTTGTGATTTTTCAATATTGCTTATAATTGGTCTTAGTTTAAGATTATCTATTTCTTGAGCCATTTGTATATTGTCTTTTCTAAATTGATCTCTTTCTGATTGAGTACGTTGTAATTCATGTCTTAATTTTGTTAATTCTTCGTTAAGTGATTTTTTTTCATTTTCAACTTGTTTATAATTATGTTCAAGTTGTTGAATATTGAATTTTTTCCATTCTTCATCGAATAATATTTGAATTTGATTTTGTTGTGCTGATTTCTCTTCACTTAAAGATGTTTCTTGAATTTGTCGATATAAATTATAATATGATACAATCAAATCTTTAGAAATTTGTAATGGAACGAATGAATCTATACTCTGTTCAATTGTTTTTGTATCAAGCTGTTCGTTTTTCTCTTCGTCTTGTATATCAATAACAAGTTCGTTTCGTTTAAATTTCGATTGAACAAATTGCGTATAGAAACAAATGCATGCATCTATCGTATCTTGATCAATACTTTTCATTTTCAGCAAATAATGAATAGCTTTGGGAACAGTCAATAATAGATTATCTTCATTTACTAATGCCAAATTAACCGCCGGTGAACTGTATAGAAGAATGGGTGACAGAAGAGCACATAATTCACTTATAAGCATCGGCGTATAACGAGATTTTTTTTCTCCGTTAGACCATCTAATCATGCGAACATCTGCTAACACTTCAATCACTTCAGCAAGATTGTGTACATCATCTTCTGTCACTTGTGCACAATGATCTGCTGAGCCATAGAATAATGATGCGAGAGTCCTTATGAAAGATCGTTCAAGCAGAATGCCTGTATGACGAAAACAAACTCTTTCGAAAATATGTAATTTCGGTTCTTCTTCAATTGATCTAATGACGAAGGAAATAATCAATTAATACAGGTATATGAGAACGGATAATTATGCTCACTCAGAATCACTATCTTCTTGTTCTTTTTCGTCTTCTTCTGTCCATAAGTTTTTGAGAGTTTGATATGGCGAGAGAAGCCATTTGATAGCATCGAATATTTTACGCGCCACTAATGGATCATGAGTTAAATAAGCAATCGCATATTTATGTTCGCTTTGATCCCCGTTTAGAATAGTTGAACATAGTCGAAGACCAGATAATGTAAGAGCATACTGTCGTTGATTGATAAGTAATAAACTTAATGAGTATATTTCAGGAGTATAATTAAATAAGTCATGACGAAAGAAAAAATGAGAACCTAACATACATATAACTAAAACTATTGAATAGATCAAAGGCGTTAATGTATCATTTGGATTTTTAAGTAATTGAAGAGCATAATGAATTAATTGAGCGGCAATTGTATTTGCATGCTTGATATCATTAGGATCAAGACCAAGTATCAATTGTTTTTTATATGCTCGTAATTCCTCATCATTTATACGTCCGAGTTCATCGAGAACAAGATGAACAATTTTACGAGCAGCATTAGCAGCTGTATCTACTTGCTGAAGATCATTAAGAAGTGGTTTTAATCGATTACCGATGACACCATGATAACACTTTTGTAAATTATTTCGAACATCTCGTACGTCACGTGCTGTTCGTCGGTGAGGTGAAAGTAGTTTTGCCATATCAGAACGAAGTTTGTTATTATTAGCTAGATACTTTGATGACTCATTAAAAAGGCATTGCATTAATGTTTCAAGTGCATTATCAATTGAAACGGTTTGTTCATCAATAAGTAAGGTATTGTTTTGAAGATATTTTGAAGAGTTTAACAATGAGAAGAAACTCTTAATTCTATGATCATATACAGGATAAGTTTTTGTTTGATAATCTTGAATAGATTGACTTTGAAATATCCAACTTTCGAAAAGTTGTTGTTCATTAACAAGAAAACAAAGTATTTTCAATGTAAACTTCAGTAATGATGAGTTTGAATCATTGAGTTGAAGAAATATATTCATAAATGCTGGTTCTAAACACACTGATCCACTAAGAAGAATCCAACTTGCTGATTTATGTTTTATTTCTTGTTCTTCAGTTGTTGGATTCAATAATTCAAGAATATTCTTTCGAAATTCATCTACCTGCGAAGAATTCGATGCATCAGTAATACCAATTGACATAGAATTTAATCCATTACAACATGTTGGTGTCAGAGTTGATATAGATTGATCAGTTGATGATGACTGATTTTGATCGATAAACAGTTGATCATTGATATTCATCAATATTTCATATTTTGCTAGATGAATATCATTGGTACACGAAGAAATTTCGGCATAATTTTTAAGTAAATATTTGATACGTTGGTACACTAAACTGACTGGTGAACCTGTGGTGATAATAAAATTTATTCGACCTGGAGGTTTTCCCAGAAGCTTGCAGCATGAGCAAAGCGATTCTGTCATATTATTTATCTAAAAGGTAACGTATTACTATTACAGAGTTTATGAATAGCAAACAATCTGTTTCTTTTTTCATTCTTTGTTATAATAGAGATTAATGCAAAAAAGTATGTTTTTAAAAAAACAAATAGAAAAGGCTATAGTGAATATTGTTATCATATTAGTATAGTAAGAACTGTTCTAATCTATCTCATTCTGGTATTATATTCACATCGAACTTATAGTAATAAACAAAAGTTTAAAGGTATTCAGAATTTTCAGCTTTCTTCTCGATGCTAAAGGATAGAAAGAATCTGAAGAAGCATTTAAGTAGTTGAAACGATTGTCTATTAGGATTCATAAGCCTGAAAATTTCAACAACATTTGTCTAATGAGGATATACAGAAAACTGAGACCCTCAAAACTAGTGCTCCGATTTTCATTAGACACTTTTGAAGAAACGAGTAAACACTTCTTAAGCAAAATGAAACGTCTCGGATTTTTCGATAGTCCTCCTTCGTCGAGCTGCATTCCATTGATCAACGGTTCAATAAGCACTTTTCTCTTGTTTTTATTGAAAATTTCAATGTTTTAGCCATATTTCATGGTTTGAAATCTTCTGTAAATTGCTTACAGTTCACTGAAGAGAGATCACAGAAATCTCATTTTACTCCCATGTAAAAAAAATTAGGGGTAAAATCAGATTAAAATCGATTAAAAATCGATTAAAATCATACACCTTTTAATCGATTTTTAATCAAAAATAATCAAAAAAATCAAAATTTCATACATAATTTTGATTAATTCTGATTAATTTCGATTATAATCGATTAAAATTTGTTGAGAAAAATCGATTTTAATTGATTTTTGTTCATGATGCATAAAAAAATCTTCAGCTCCCAGGTCGATCGTTCCGGCCACCGGATATTGCAGGAACCGGCAGGA